TAGCAGATCAGTCTACTAAAAAATCTAGTAGATAAGAAATGAAAGATAAATTAATGCAACTGAAATAAGGAGAGGAAGTGAAATTAACGGTTGAAAAAAATAGGTGGAAAACAGTGTGGTGGGATTTGTAGCCCACTGAGCTTTTTAAATGAAGCTTGCGGATAAAATAAGTTGATGCAGGCTTGATATATTAAAAAAGCGGTAGAGGAGAAGAACATGATGTTTTGGTATAGACAGCAAGCCAGACGAAATGATCATTAATCTTGGAATCTATGAACTGTATAGCAAGAGAGTACTGTGAATGTAAGCTTAACGTCCTCCCGTCGTCTCTTTACACGTGGTTAGAAGTAGGCTTTGAACTTAGTTGTCTGGAGATCATCGTCAGAGTGGAGGTAAGTAAAATGGAAAATAATCAGCAATTTGATTTTTATGCAGTAAGCTAGAGTTTCTTTTAACAGAGATATTTAGTAAAACAGAAATTTTTTTACAGAATTTAGTACTACTGCATTGTAGTCCTAGTTTTTAATGCAAGTAGACATACTTTCCAAAGTCAAGGAAGGCTGGGGAGCAACTAACTGTTTAAAAATTTTGATCTGCCTTGCAAGTTTTATTTAAAACTACCACACAAAAAATTTGGTTGGACTAGCTACAGGATAGTTTTAGGAAGAGGAAAAATTTGATATTTATGCTGTAGCATTCCTTCCCTGCTCATCGCTTTGAAGATACCCTCCAGATTTTCTTCCTTATTGGCTTTTCAGGCTTGTCTGGAGAAGAAAAACCAGGTGTCAGAAAGAGGGGGAGAGGACATTTTGAGTTTAACCTGGGAAATGCTGTCTTATCTTTGAAGATTTGTTTCAGCTCAGCTACTTGTTTTGATGCTTCAGCCCCTATTGTTGTAAGCCTTCCTGGTATTCCCAACAAACTAGTAAATTTAGAACTGCATGACTGAAGTATTCAGAAATCTTTATCTATGGTTCCAGTAAATAATCTCGATGTACAATTTAGGGAGGGTAATGCTCCTTATGGAACAGTCTATACTGACTTATGAACCTTTTATGAAGTGTCAGAGTTGTTTATGATGCAGAGGCTGTGAGCTGCGTTCCTGCTGTTGAGTGGGCAGTTTCTACTAGAACCACTATTTGTTAGCTGAAAATCAGTAAGTAATAGTATAGTAAAGTAACCAGTAGTAATAGTGACAGATGCATTTTTAATTAAGCTTCTTACAAAACTTGCCTGCTCAGCTGCCTTCTTAAGTTTGGGAGTTACTGGACAAACAGCAGTGCATGTATACCTTTGAGGGTCGAGAAAATATTTTGCTATCAAGGTAGCCAGCTGTTGTAGGATTTACTTGTTTTCTTTGTTCCCCTTTATTAGTCCTCATTAGTTAATGCAAATTTCACATTAGCTTTTTGCTAAGTTGAAGCCCAAAGCTTAAACATGGATGCTTCTTGAAAGAAGCTGAAAGGACCATGAGTAAATTTGTGACTCAAAAATAAGACTAATGTCAGTAGCCAGATTTTCCCTTTGAGGAACTCCATGTGATAGTTCTTTTCTGTGTGCTGCTTTACTGATGCTTCCTTTATCTTACTGAGCAGGATAAGGTGATTTGTGTGATCCTGGAGGCTTCCATTCCATGGTTTCTAGTTTACTTAGAACTGGAAAAATTGTGAAACAGATGTATTCACTTAACATATTTTCTTTACACGTTAATTGTTTGTGAACTCCGTTCTACAATACATACATGATCTATAGAGAACTGAGCATAGTCAGTATGTTCAATTTAAACCAAGACATCAGTGTTTATGTGGGCGTTTATTATAATATTTTTATTTTAAACGCAAATTATTACCTACAAGCCATCTGTAGGTCATTTTTTTTAAGGCATCCAGCTTTGGTCATTCATAAGCCAGCCTTCAAAAGATGCTTTGCTACTTCCTGGAAGTATTATTTTTGTGTGCTTCATATTGTATGCATCATTCTAAGATATGTACATAATTACTGACCAGGAAAGCTGAGTGAATGAACTGACTTTATGGAACTGTCTCCATCTTCAGCAGACTGAGAACTACTACTATTTCTTCTCTCCCTTCCCCCCTTTTTTTAAATTCCAGTAAGGATGGACTAATGACTCAGTAAATTAGGAGTTCCATTCCTAATCTAGCAGATCATTAATGCACATGAGTAATTCCATAGGCATTAGTAATGGCGGAGGAGCTGGGCTGAGAGCCCCAGAAGGCCAGCCTTCTTCCGGTCTTTTCACAGATGGCATGATGTGAGTACTCGGGCACATTGCTTTCAACTCTTCTGTATCACCAGCTGTAAAATGGGGAACTAGCGTGGAGAGCCACAGAGTGTTGAGGATAACGAGATAGGTTTGTTTTAATTTTTGAGCCCTATCTTGCAGGAGCTTTTTGTTTTGCTCTGTTCAGGTTGTTCTGTCTATATTCTGTGCATGTTCCTCATATAGGGAGGGAACATGTTTTTTCCTTCCTTGAGGGTCTATGTAATCCTACAAAGTTGTCTTTGCTCAGAGCCTACGGTTTTTAGAATCGGGTGAAGGAAGAGGAATTGAGGAAAGGAAAGCTTTCAGGAGCTGGTCAGTGATGAAATACTTTTGGTAAAGGGTGAGGGGAGAGTGACATGTCAGTTGTACCCACTTTTCTCCATTCTAGCTTAATGTTGGTAACAAAGAATTAATTTTGACCAGTAGAGTCCTTTTTTTTTTTTTTTTTTTGAAAGAGAAGAATATTTGAAAAGCCATCCTCTCTCGTTGCACATTCTGAAACATCAGTAATTTGGTGTTCTATAATGTTAGTGAAACCTTAGCAGCGAATCGGAGTGCTGTGGACTAAGGAGCCTAAGTAGGACAGCAAAGGCTTTGTTCACTGAAGGAAGTCTTTCTTTTTTTAATGGCATTGGCTGTTGACTCCAAGCCAAAAGCACCTTTTTGAAACTTCTTTTGGACATCAGGCTTTTGCTGTCAAAGAAATTACAAAACCGAGAGCAGAATGTAAAAAAGCAAGGCTTCTTGAGAATGCTGTATTCTTATGCATATATGAAACAGTGGTTCAGTGCTAAAAGCCAGCTGATAACCTCCCTCTTCCCACACACAAACAACACCTACACAGCTCTTTTAAAAACAATGACAGGAATCTGACTTTATCTGACAAAAGGAATTTGGAGTGGACATCTCCAGTTTGTATAAACGGGGCGTGTCAGACCAGTGTGCAATGCAGGCTGTAGTTTCCCAAACACATTAAAATGTTGTCATCGGACCCTCTTCCTCTCTCTCCCTCCCCTGTTTCTATGGTGAAACAGATCAGGGAAAGCGGTTGTTTTTTGATGAAGAGGGTGGTACAGAGCCAAGAGCAAGTGGCTAGTGGTGGGACGACAGGACAGGTGCTTTTGGTTGGCGGTACTTGGCTGCCACTGGATTCAAGGCACTAACAGCCGGAGTTAGTCCATCGTACAGAATATGAAGAACGACAGGCCAGACAAGATCTGAGAGAAACCTTAATTCTGATCTATTCCTTAATTTTTTTAAATTCACGACTTTTATTATTTATTTTCTTTTACTCTCATCGGTGGTATATATTTTTATCGTCTTCCCAGCATTCTCTTTTAGTGAATACATTTTTCTTGAGTCTTGAACCCTGCAGCATTATGATGTTCTTTGATTTATCTTCAGGTCATCCTGTTGCATGTTGAATTGGGAAGACTTGAGCTGTTAGTTATAAATGTTGACCTAATATATTAGGTTCAGGTATGTTACTGAATCTGCAAGACATAGGTTCCCAAAACACCCCTCACCCCAAGCTATTTTTTATGTAAATTAAATAAGCTTTGACTTTAAACGGGTTCTGTAGGAGTTTGTTTTTCTTCATCCACTGTGAATTTTTAAATTTTTTAGCTTATGTTTACTGTGAAGTGTATTTGGATTCAGCATACATAGGGCATAAAGTTTGTATTTGACCTGGTACTTGCTTGTATTTTTGGATTACTGAGTAACTGTTAAGGAAAATTTATGGTAAATGCTGTCTTAAACTGAAAATCCTGGATTTTTTTCACTGTGACAGATTTTTTAGCATAAAAATGCAAACGCTTAATTGCTAGACTAAAAATTTTGCTAGATTGTATTGTGCTCATTTATTGTACTGTTATTCATTCCTGTCTAATTCTCTAACCCCCATATTACCACTCACTTTTGAAATTTTCAGCTTGTCCTGATTAGAGTATCCTCTGCTCGTACAGAATACGGTGAAAATTCAGTTTTGAAGATGTTTTGATTTATTGAAAATCCTACAACTTTTTTTTGAAGGCTGTTTTATTTTTGACTTATCTTTGGTTTGTTTTATGTCTTTGTTTTGCTATAATATTCTTGATGACTGAAAACAGGTTTGCTCTCTTTGGAGTCTCTTGCTAGACCTGATCATGAACTGCTTGTATATAGAGATTTATTTTAATAAATGTTTTTTGAAATGCAGGCTACACCCAACTTAGTCATGCAGTACAATTTACGTTATTTTTCTTTCAGGGGGTAGTCTTAAGTGTTGAAGTTTGCATCCAGTGAAGTTGTGTTTTGTGTTTTAAAACTGCCGAACGCATCTTTTGTGTTGAACGGTCTCTTAGTTACCTAGTACTAATCTCCGATTATATCATCGTTATCTTGAGAAACATCCATTTGTGAATAAAAGGATTTTTAGGGGAAAAAAAGGCGTAATATTTTTATTGTGAAAGTGCACACATCAGGCAAGGGCTACACACAGCTTAAAATGCAAATACTGAAAGCTGTTTTTAGAGAAAGACCTAGATCTGTGCCTGCATGTACAATTTACTATTCTGGTATTTAACTGGTATATATACATAAGACTGACTTTAACTTCTCTCCAAGCAGCAAGCATTCCCTCAAAGCACAACTCATAAGTAAATTATGTGTTGTTTCTGGTGATGGTTTTACTCTTAGCTAATTCTGGGTATTTTTGTTTCATTTTATCTTTAAGGATCAGTTTGATAACTTAGACAAGCATACGCAGTGGGGCATTGACTTCTTGGAGAAATATGCAAAATTTGTAAAAGAAAGGATAGAAATTGAGCAAAACTATGCAAAGCAACTGAGGTAAGTTTTTTTTTTTTTTCTTTTTTCTTTTAAAAAGAATTTTAACAGTTACTTAAAATCAGTGCATCATATTATGGACAAGTATGTAATTTCATGGTTAAAGACCGTTTTTCATTTTCAGAGTGAGTGAGTTCTTTTCACGACAGACAAGTTTTTCTCTACTAGTGCAAAGCAAAGAAAATTATCTTTGGGTGTATGCTTGCTTGCTTGTTTTCCCTTCCCTCTTGCCCTCCCTCCCTTCAAATCTTTGAACAAGAAAGAATATGTTCAGTGAAATTTTAAGGTTAAAAACTAAATAAAAAAGCCCTACTAATGCTTTTCTGATATCAGATTGTTTGTAGCAAACTTCTCACATTATCCAAATCTACTTTTGTGTATGTGTGTTCAACCAGTTTAAAGCCTCTGCTACTAATTAATTTCTCATGTTGATTTGGCAAGAGCTATACTACATTATGTTTAAAAAATCTGATTAAAATCATTGAGTAGAACTTAAGAAAGTAGCAGATCTTCCTGTCCTTTAAAGTGCAGCCTTTCTTAGCTTGTCTTGTCTGTTTGAGTGCGACTCTGTAACCCAACCACCCTTTGTCTTATATCCAGTTTACTTTCTGTTGGTGCCAAGTAAAATACCTTTTAGATACAATAGGAGTTTCTCCTCAGGGATTATGTAAGAAGAGTAGCAGCAATGAACTGGCACAGGAACACATTCTTCGTAATGAAATAGGATTCATTTTAACCAAAAGCCACACAGTTCTTGGAGAACATGATTAAAAATAAGAAACTCCTAAGAAATTGTCATTCATGATAATCCTTGCGGTCTTGCATTACCTCAGGGACCCAGTTGAAGCTGGTGTGTCAGACTTCAACTGACAGCAGCTTTTCTCCTTTGGTGTCCTCCGTCTTCTCATCATTGGCAAACTAGATTGTCATCAGTTACAGAGCTGAGGAATCCTTTCTTATACACACAGTGGTGAGATTTATAGCTGAGGGATGGATATTCTCTGTCTAGGCTGCTCTTTTACTTTTCCTGCTTCATTTCTTTATCAGCTTCTTTTGATCCAGTTGCTAAGATTATACCATACTACTTTACTGAAGGATTTTTTTTCTTAAAAGAAGGAAATAAATACTTCCCACTTTTCCAAAGCTGGCGTAGAAGAACTTCAGGAGGTAAAGGAAAGTTTGAAGCATGCACAACACCAGTTCACATCCCAGTGTTGCTTTGTTTTCAGTGTGCAGTTTAAAAATGGAAATTTGTTTTATTTGCACAGATCTATCCAGATCTTTTCCTTAAATAGTATGAACAAGTGCCATTTTGCTTAATTATATTTGAAGGTTCATTTCCCACAGCTAGCAGGATGAGCGGCCACATTATTACTTTCAAATTAGATTAAAAATGGGAAATCTTTTCTGTGCAGCATTTTACATATGGATAAAACACTGATATTTCTCAAAGTATCTTTCAAAAGCGAAAGTGTTACCTAGAGTACACCTTTTGTCGGATGACTGGACTTACTGTGTACGTGCAATAGGTATGCCAGTTTTGGGAAGCACTGGTCTTGCTGCACATGTGTTGTACAGTGCATGCGTGCACTTCCTGCTTGCTGCCAACCAGGGTTTGGACAATACACACAAAAGCGGGTGACTGAGTTTCTGCCAGTAGACCAGTTCATGTAGCCGCTCTTATGTTATTTCCTAGGTATTTCTTGGGGGAGAGCTGCTAATAATGAACTGTCTTGTGATAGCACCTTGATTTCAGCCATCACTTCTCCTGTGGATGCTCACTGATGTTAGCTGTGTAAAAGCGAAGAGCCATGAGGCTCCAGGGGAGACTGAGGTCAAGTGGAGCTTTCATATCCAGAAAAGTTAGCCATCCTGCAGCTTGCTCCTGAGAATTCTGAGAGAGGATCTTGGGATGGGCTGTAGTTCTGGTGAATTTTAATGCTGGCAGCATACAGCCTGTGGGCTGGATTTTAATATCTCTGATAGATATTTTTTGTTTGTCTTCATTTTTCCCTTTTGTAATCAAATATAACCTGAAAAACACTGTGTTGAGAATCTCTTCATAATAAGCTCTATAACTGAGATTTGTTATGTCCTTACTCACAGAAGTATAAAGAATATGGTCTGTGGCCACCTCTTAGTAGTCCTAGCTCTGTATTAGTACTTAGGTGGGAGACCAAGAAAAAACAATTTTAATAGGAGAGAGAAAGCTAGTGAGGTACGTGGTGGTATTTTTCTTCTGACTTGGTTTCAGTGTGGGCTGCCAGCTTGTTTTTAAGATTGTTGCTAGATCTGAGTTTTGTAGACTTAAACCCAAGGATGACTACTTGATGACTAACTTTTTTATAACAATTTACACAAATTACAGTCTATGTCCTGGCAGAAATTCATATTCACTTTATGTGTATATCCTTGCATTTTGATAAAATATTTTTTCCATGCTGTCATAACTTAGTGATGAGACTTTCCTGGGTGCAACAGCTGTTCTGAGCCTTCTGGTAGATGGAAAGCAAGTAATGCACATAAGGTTAATAAAGAACTGTTTGAATGAACTTGCTATATTATTATTGTATGAAGTTACTGAAGTTGATAGTTTACGGTTGTTGAGTAATTCCAAAAATGCTAACTTAAGAGAATCCAGCCCCAGTGCTGTTTTTAGGTCACAAGTCATTCCTCGCTATTCTTTGCTAGGTAGTTGTTGATACTGAAAAAAGTGCTTAAGTGACACTGTTCAAGAACCTGAGGATGTCTATGGAGAAGAAAAATTATTTAGAAACCTTAATCTTGTCTTCATCTGCAGTATGCTTTGTTCTCACAAATGCAACTATATTTTCATTTCTGAGCATACTTAAAGGCAAACCTTAAGTTTTGTGTGGCTTAGGTCTCAAATAACATATTGTGGTACCCCAAAGAATATGAAGGTTATTGGCTGTTAACTATGTTACAGGGACCTGAATCAGGACAGACATATTGCAATGTACATTGCACACTAATAGAATTCAGTTTAATGATATGACTATTTAATTTGTTCTTATTTTATAATTGGAAACAAATTGTGTTTCTGGTATGTGTCAAATTACTGGACTCTCACAAAATTTTGTAATTGAATTCTCAGATGTCGTTTTTGATCAGGCAGTTATTGTTGCTTAGGAGGGGAGAGGTGAAGGTCTGTTTTGTTTACTTCCTGTTCATGACACACACAGGAATTCTGGAGGTTGACTCCCTTCTTGTTCTGTCCAAAGCTTTATGACGCTTTTAAGGAAGGAGTTCCACTTTCTGTTATGCTAGGCAGTAGTGCAAGTTACATGTGTAGTTACAGATTAAACGCCGGTGGAAGAAAGATTGCTGATTTTGGTTGCTTTCTCTTTATTGTCAGTTAAAGTAAATGGTGAGGATTGTTCATGAGCTAGTTGAGTGTTCCCCCTTTAGAACTGTACATCACGATCTCTGGGGATCACTAGCTGATCTGAGCAAACTTAATTTTAGTGTTTTAATATTTCCTCCTGCACACTATTATGTATAACTCGATTATTTTCTAAATATATTGACATATGCTTATATCTAATCAAATTGAGACATGTCCATCTAAGTTGTTTTATGCAGAAACTTGAAAAAGTTACTTCATAGCTATGTAAGCTCAAACAGGTTGGGAACACAAATTATCACCATATGTGTTTCGCAAATCTGTTTTCCTTTGATTGGAGCTGAGAATTTAAGCTGTTGATTATTATCCAAATGTGGATGTGGCAGATTTTTTTATAGTGATGTTTCTGCAAGCCAAAACATATGAATTCTTAACTGTTCCAAGGATATTCTGTTTTGGAAACTCAAATTCCACATTATAATTTTTTCAAGATTCATCTCTACTGTTAAAAGCCTTTTCTGATAACATGATATTACTAAGTGCAGTTCATTGTCATTGTCTGTTTTCACCCGGTGTATATGTTGATATGCAGTCAATGAAGGCATCAAAACCCTATTGAAAGTATTGCTTTCTATATAAATATGAAGTGCCTTACAGCTCTAATTGCATTGTTTCGTAATTCGACAAGACAGACTTCAAAGAGTTTGCTCCCAGACTCTTTTGTAGTACAGTGTGGCGCCTGTAGAAGTTTAGTGTAAATAGATACAGCAATACTTGAGCAGTTGCCTTCATGCAAATTCTACAGTATTGTTGATGCTATTCCCATTTCTGCATTCTGTATTGGGTGACTAAATAAAAATAAATTTTGAGTTCATGAACCCAACAATTTTATACAGATGTTATATGTACAAAGTTGTATAAGTCATTTCAATTAATTAAGTAGGGTGCTTTTTGAAACTTCCTGCTACATGACTGAGGTACTTGTTCTCTTAAAAATTAGTGATATAGTCCAGGTTGCTATCTCACTAGTGTTCACCTGAGACTGACTGACACTGAGAAGAGAGGCTGGTGAGATTACAGGAGCAGCACAAATTGGATGTGATTAGTCCTGTATGAAATTTGCTTCCAGACAGCTGTAAAACAGAACGTGGTAGAAGTCTAGATTGTGCTTCTAGAGAGGACTAAAGGGTCATCAATCTGTACTTCTATGAGGAAATGTAGAGCAGTTTGTCCTCTAGATTTAGTTTAGCTCTGATGGTCTGCAATTACTTCTGTGGTTTTCTTCTAAACCCAGAGGCACTGTTGCTTAGATCTGTCACTTGCATTTTTGTGCTTTTATTTCCTTGGGATAAAAAGAAAATTGGAAGCGTAAGGAAGAATCTTTATTTATTTTTAATTTAATTGCAACATCCTCATGGTGCTGATTTGGCTCAGTGTATTTGTGAGTTCATTCATTTGTCCTTGGAGAAGGTCATAAAAAGTTTGCCGTATTGTCGTCTTGAGGGATTTCTGCTCAGAGTGAGCTCATGGTTTACCATGTCTACCAACATCACTAACTGATGTTAAAAATCATGCCTCTGTTGGTAGTGCAGGTGTTCATCTGCTAAGAAGTGGATGATAACTCATCTGACTGGCTCACTATCATTTCTGATCACTGTTCTAACATCAGTGGGATTTATACTGATGACCAGGGAGCAAAATATTCAGATTTCATTGCCAGGCTTTCATTTTCTATCCTTTCCATTATAATAGAAAGTTAAACTCTCACTAAATGTACAAGAAGATTTACCAGTGTGACAAGAATAACTTGATGAAGTAAGCACTTGATTATATTAGATTCCTATTTTTAAGCTCTACTTTAAGTTCTCAAGCATATATATGTCTGTGTGTGTGTATACACACACACAGACACACACGTACATGCACATACATACATGCAAACGTAACATGCCCAATGTAGGGAGACCAGTACAGATCTGACCAGGGAGTGGCGTGGGGGGCAGGTTGCTCCTCCCTTTTTACTGCTCCAGCTAGGCATTGACAAGGACTCCTGTTAAATTAACTGCAGTTGAAGCAGGGTCAGTCCAGATGTTCTAGTAAGGATGTGTTTACACAAGTGTTTCAGTCTGAGTCAGGAATGCTCTTTAGAAATGAATCTGCTGATTGGTTCCCACTTATGCTGTGGTTCACTTCTGGAGGAGTCTGAAAGTACGCAAACTGGATTTCTTCCAGTGAAACTGAATTGTGGGAAGTGCACTTGTTAATGGCTGGTTAGCCCAGGGAACCAGGCTAGTGCTACTCTGAAGTAAAACCTCCTGAAATTCTTACAGTGTGAACACTGAGTTCTTAGCATCGTTCCTTGGCTTTAAAGATCTATTCAAAGATCTAAACCTATTGGACCATTCTAATTGCTGCTGTAGACATACCATAAGGTTGGAGTGTTCTAGACAGATTACTCCAGATCCGTATTTGGATCCAGAGAATTAGACACAAGTTTAGATCCTTTTTCCCCCCCTCACCAGCTGTCCACTGACTTCTCTTTGAAATGCTGCTTTACTCCTCATATCTTCAGATCCACCCTCATCCTAACTTCTAGTCAACCTACATTGTTTTCAAGGATTTAAATTTAATTTCTCAGTTGTTTTTTGTGTTGATGTTCACTGTTTTAAAAAGGCGTTTATGCTTCATTTATTGTTCACATGCACTCTTGCTTTCTCTTTGATATAAATTCTGCATTTGTTTGTCATTTCATATTTATTAACTTTGAAGATTGTTGCTTTATATTGTTTTTCATCCTTACCGCCTGATCACACAGTGCCTCAAAACTATATATTCCTGTGGTCCTAAATGCAGACAAGATTGAATAATGACTAATTAATGTAAATGGAATCATGATTAACGTAGCTTGACTTTCATTAGGAGGAAGGATTATATAATATTTTTTATCTTCCTGGAAATAGTAAACAATCACATTAAAGAATGAAACTAGTACAGAAATCAGCATGCTAGTAAATGAACTATACTCGTGACCCTTCTCCCTTGTCACTCTAAAAACTGTGTATTTTGTATTAAGTGGCTTCTTTTCTCATATGTAGCAGTCCAAAAGTCTTCCCTTGAAAAGGCTCTTGCGTGGTTGCTTAGTTACAGCATTGTACACTTGTTATGCATTTCACCTTCTGAATAATAATAAGGTGAATTTTAGGAGTTTCCCATTTGTTCATAAGCACCAAGAAGCAATGCAGAAATGTAATGGAAAATGAATGTAGCGAAATCACTTGGATAAGAAGGTTATTCTTTTTTGAGTTGAGTTGATGCATTTCCCAATCAAGATGTCTGCTTTTAATCTCCACCAGGTAAAATTTTACAACAGCCAGTGGATTCTGGTGATAGTGAAGAGAGATTCTTTTTTTGGTTTCAGTGAGGAAAGTCTTATAAAATTTGTAGATAACCTTTTTTCAAAAGTCAATGTTTATTCTGTTTCTTGGTACAAATAGGTGCAAAGAGGGCTTGAGAATACAGTCATGGTTGTTCTTTCCGGTTGTGGTTTGTGAATGTACAGAGAGACAAAGGGTCTAACCTTGCTACTTCCGCAGTGACTCCCTGCTCATGTTTTGGTGTATTCTTCATGACCATGAACGTGGTCTCACTACTCACCTCTTAGAGATAATCTCTAACTTTGAAATGCATTGATTTGAGAAATTGTACAAGGTTATTTTAGACGAAAGCAGGACTAGCACCCCTGTTGATAATGATAGGATAGGTCATTCTTTGTAACACATAAAATTACATGCAGCCAGTGGGAATGTGATAAAAGGATACATTTAAGATTTTGTCCCATATAATCTTCTCCTCTTCCTCTTTCTCCCCCCTCCTCCATCTCTGTAGCATTGTGGCTGCAGACTGCTTTTTCTAGTGCAGTTGTGTGCTACTTAAGGTAAGGTATTTTGAACTATATTAATTAATAATTACTCTAGGAAATCAAAGGCTGATTGTCTCAATTATTACTGGACAGACAGATGGAAAATTTAAGTCCTGAGGCCAATTAAAAGATTACTGTTAAAACAGCTCTGCCAGGTTTGCTGAAGCTGGTAATTCTTGGGCGTGCAAATCTCTTGTGGTGTTCTGTACTTAATTTCTTATTTGGGTGGATGTGTAAGGTACTATTCCTTTACAAAATACTGTCTCCTCACAAAATACAGAAGGTTGAATGAAGTATATTCCAGAGCAATTAAAACCCAAACCCATTCTTTGCATAATCCGGATCCACCTTTCCAGAATGCGCTGTGAGAATTCTTCCCTGACAAGCTGGAGACAAACATGCTGTTTCTTGAACAGAATGTTTCAGCCAGGCACACTTGTTTTTTGTTTTTTCTTAAATGGTAGGTATTGTTATTTGGAGATGTGTGGAACGAATCCCAGTTGCCAGCATTCTGTTGCTTTTATTTGTGCATTGTGAAGCAAGTAATTGGCATGCCTCATCTTCTGCTAAGTATGTTAATTGACGCTTAAATTATTACTTTGATAGTTTAAATGATAAGATGCCCATAATCGGGCTCTGGTCACACAGCATAAACCTCGTTAGTGAGTTTTTGATGAATAGGTTCAATGTTTGAAAAATAAGGGAATTTTTGTGGGGATAGGGTTTAGTCTTTAAATAACTGGTTCATTAATTGGAGTAGTAGAAGACCTCTTTTTAAATACTATCTATGGTTTTAAAAAAATATACAGCAACTGAGATGCATTACCTCTTTGATCTCAAGGAGCACAAAGGTTGAGGGGAGAGCAATGTGAGAAAAATCCTACATTTTACTTGTTTTTCTTTCGTATGGAAAGGGATCCTTTATTTGCTATAAAACAGCATATCCTCTGAGGGAAAGGAGAGGAGCACTAGTAGAGCTTTACTTTCAGTTTTTTTCCTCTTGGAAGAAACTGACAATTTTGAAAATTGCTAGAATAACTCCCCCAATACAGTTGAAGATACAGTCCTCCCAATACTAAAAATAGGAGGAGAATTATGGATTTTTTTTCCAGACTGACAACGTCTTCCTTGATTATCAAGGATTTTAAGACTTTTTATTACTGTCAGAAAAATAATGTTTATTGTAAGGGCAGAATGTTGTGCAGGAAGAATGTGTGCTCAGAAAAACTTCTGCAAGCAAAGGTTGCCTCACAGGAAGATTTGAATGTGAAAAAATAGTGTAAATTGTTTTCTCTCTCTTACTTTCTCTCTTACTTTTTCCGTTCTCTTTGTAGAACTGTGTGACTTTATTTCATTTTCATTACAGGATCCTTCACCATATAATTACCAATGTAATATAGAGTGATATTTGTAGCAGTGTGTATATAGCTGCAAATATTTTGCAGTTGTTTTTGTAAGCAGTGTACGCCTGTATTGTCTGTACTTTAGGATAGAGTACGTAATATTGCTTATATGTTTCACAAGGTATTGTTTCTGCATTGTATGATAAATTCCTCTCTGTGTTCTTGGAAATAAATTTGGGCTCTGATATGCTATGAAGTGCTGGAGGTGAGCCCAGGGCTCCTCTTGTAGAGATTTGCTTGGTTTCTGAAAACCTGATATTTGCAACACTGATGGTGGTACATCATGTAACATTTTCCCTTTAAAGAGATACTGCCTCTTATATTCTGGAAGCCTGCTTATTGACGATTTGGATGTATTGCGCTTAAAACCGTTGATCTGAATGTCTACTCAACGCTTAAGCCAGGCATGGAGTTTTATGCTCATGGGTACAGCATGTGTGCTATGTATACGTCACACAAAGTGATCATACGTTTGCGTTTTTCTTGGCTGCTAGTTTATTTTGCATGCTTGAAAAGGAATTTAAATAAACGAGATGACTCATTATTTTATATTTAGTCTCTGTGCAATAAAGACTTTAAAATATTTACAAACACATTGTTCTAATTCCAAGTGGCTTATAACGGTTGAAATGTCATAGAGTTCTGCCTTGTGTTATTTTAGGCACCCTTATAAATTTATAGAGTGAATAGATTTGTTCCTTCAAGACGTTAAAAATAAGCTGTCTGTTAATGTAGTTTGCTATGTGTATGTCTTCTTGGAGGACACTCTGAAATAGCATCCTGTTTTTTCTTCTTCCTTAATAGAAATCTGGTTAAGAAGTACTGTCTTAAACGTTCACCCAAAGATGAGGAGCCCAGGTAAAAATTTGCATTTCAACTCCTGCATATAAGAAATAAGGACTACGGTACTTTTAACTGTGGTTTTCTGGAGTGTGCGTGTGTTTTATTTGTTTGTTTCTTTTTGGAACATTTTTAAGTGGATAAGACAACAAAAGCATGAAGTAAAGAATTCTACTTGGCTTTTTATGGTTCTGTTACAATTCTTGAGCATAAACAATCAGTTTGCTTTTCTTTAATTGAGCTGTTGTAAATTAAACTTAAGTAGACAAAAGTTTGAACATTTAGTATGCTATGTATGTTCTAGTATGGTTTTTTTTTAATAGAAAAGCAATGATTTGTGCTTAGGTTCTAGTTTTTACTTAGTGTATTAGGATTTTTTTTCATTGTATTTATATTGCAAATGAATTTAGCTATGGAGACCTGGAACTTGAGTGTACGCAAAACTGTCACGTTTTTGGCTAGAAGAACTTAGGCCTCTGAAACTTCTGACTTGCTTTGACTCCAGAGACAAAATGAGTTTGAATGCCTACCTGTGAAGGAGCAATTTTCATTAAAGAACTTCATGATTGCTTATCAAAGGGAAGTGCTTATTTTGTTGTCCATATCCATTGCCATTTTTTATTTATTTAGAAAAACACTTTTTTTTTTTTTAATAGGCGTAAATAAAATGCGTATGAATGAAAGCGTATGGGCTGGACTTCAGGTTGCAGCCAGAGCACATGCTGTGCACAGGGTGCCTGGGAATCCACTCTAGGACTTCTGCTAGTTCTTTTGACTCTATTCAAAGATCCTGGACCACAGGAAACAGGATTTCTAGTTCTAGGATGGCATTCAAATTCTACAGAGCCAAGGCTATGGAGATGGCAGTATTCCACAGTTAAAGAGCGAAAGATGCATATTTTAATATGGTGCCTGTTTTTTTTTCTTTCTTCCCTTCCACACACATTTTCTACCCTTTGCCCCTCCTCTTCCCCCTTTTTAGTGCCAGCCATAGTGGCACCTTACTTCCAGCCAAGAGGTGGGCAGGCAAACAGGCAGCTGTCTCCAGAGCTGATAGCAAACTTGTTCTGTAGATCATCCATCGGGATGCATATGAGTGGTATGATTGGCATGTTCCACCCTCAAGACCACCAAGCACATCATCTCTGCAACAAATTCAGCCTCCGAGCCTAGGGACGTATGTATCCGTTCCCAAGCTCAGGCCTCTCAGTTGGCAGCTTAGGAGATACCACTATACTACAGGGCTCTCCAGGTAGTATTCTTCTTCTTTCTTTTCCATCCGCAAAAACCCATATTCTTATAAAATGTATTTGAAGAGACATTGAACATATAGTACATGCTAGGCTCAACATAGGCTTTCCCAACTTGCATTTCTGCTGTAATTTGATCAGCACTGAGATAAGGTTTATTGTAAAATATATATGATTTTACCATAGTATCTATTCTTGATTTAATTTAAAAAGAAAGTGTGCTTCAGAAAACTTTTTCACTTTTTGTATATGTGTGTTTGTGTGTTTTCTGTCAGGTTTACTTCGTGTATAGCCTTTTTTAACATCCTTAATGAGTTGAATGACTATGCAGGACAACGAGAAGTAGTTGCAGAAGAAATGGGACACAGAGTGTATGGAGAATTGATGAGATATTCTCATGATCTAAAAACTGAGAGAAAAATGGTAATTTCTATATTTTAATTTGATAATAAGGTACCAAAATGGATACACCTTTGGAAGAATTGATATTTTTGCCCAATTTCATGAACTTGGCAATAAGTAGGTTTTGTACATTTATCAAATGCATGTTTAAAGAAATTCTGGTATTTTTATGTATTGGTTTGCTACAGATATTGAAATCTGAGAACTAAGTTCTGGATAGATAGTGGTTATGAGTGCTTGCTTGTTTGCCAGTGTAACTTTTCATCTAGTAATGTTATTGCATGACTGCTAACTTTCTTTCTAAAATAGAGTACTGGTAACTTACTGAGCTATAGCACATCATAATATATGTAGATTAGAGCAGTAGCTTGATAAAGCTAATAGTCCTAAAAATATATGTAAATTAATCTTATTTGTGATGTTTCTAGCATCTTCAGGAAGGGCGAAAGGCTCAACAGTATCTGGACATGTGCTGGAAACAGATGGATAATGTGAGTTTTTTTTTTTCCCCCCCATGAAACTTAATAATAGGCAGTCTGTAAACAGAACTGTTGTCATCTTGGTTACTTAGACTACAATGTTTAGATATATTATTGAATGACCAAATCAGGCTTACTGATATCCAAAGTACAATCAAATGTATTTGCAGTTCACTGCATTTAAAAAAAAAAAAAAAAAACCTCACTGTAAACAGCTATTCTGTGTGTGAGTGAAGCCCTGGCTTTTATCTAGTGTAGAGGAACCAGTTCCTCCAGTACAAACTTTTTTGGTTGCTTCTCAGTAGGCTATTTTTTGGTTAGAGAGTAATTAGTAGTCACTATTCATTTCGAGAAGATGGAATACAAACCAAGTCACTGTATTAGACCTGAGTTTAAGGACTTGTTTCATGAGGCTTACTCAAGAATGCCACTATAGACTATTATCCTTTCAGTAGATGGAATTACCTTTTTACAGAGAAATGCAGAAAGTAAAGCTCTCTAGAACTGATGATAAGCTGCTTTTCTTGGAAACAATACTTCTGAAGGTGTGAAAGTGCAAAACTTGCCATGTGTGTTCAGGTGCATTCTGATACTCTGTTGTTTCTCTGTCGTTCAAATTTATTGTTATCTTTGATCCAGATTATTGTGAAGCAAAATTGGAGAGGTGAATTTCTGTTTTGTTGCTGTAGGCCCAGAAACACAGTGTTCAGCATCATGTCAAAGAGTTTAATTCATGATCAGATGGTCACAGTAGAGGCAGATAAGGTAGTTTAAGATGCTGTCACCCTTCAGCAAGATAATTCCCAGAGCTCACCTCAAACAATCAGTTATGTTGTGTGTACTATATTTATTCGAGTGCAAAGTCAGTCTTGTAAATTCACACAGCCTGTAAGGGACACTTCAACCTAAATTGCCTGACTCTGCACTGAAGCAGAAGAGCAGTACTCACAGTCTCAGTTAACTGTTTGTCTGTGGAGATGCTAACTTCTTGAGCCACACAGTCTTTTCTGCAGCAATTGCCTTGACAACAGCCAGGTGTACTGAACATCAGAATACTCAATACTGTTCTCATCTATACTGTTTAGAGCTACTCCAGTTAATATGAATGCTGATGGTAACGGTTGGATATACTAAGATCTCAGAATGTAGATGAACCTTCTGACTATCTTCAAAATAATTTAGTTGAATTTATTCAACTAAAATTGAGCATTGAAGAAGTTAGCTTCCAAACTTTACTAATATGAGTCCAGATTTATATTTTTTCCCCTTACCTTTCTTTTAGGCTATTGAAGTCAGGCTAACAAACCTGTCTGTTTATAATTAACTGTATTTTTTTTTGTAATAGGATATTTTGTATTTTGATTAGTTGATATTATGTTACAATTACAATTATGTTGCTAATTACAATTGTTTCCTTGCTGGTACTTTTAAGGAAATAGATAGGTCTTAAATAAATAAGTTGAAAATTTTGGAGACCTGATTGCACGCCCCTACAAGAGCAGTGTATTTACTTAAATAATGGTACTTAGTGAGGTGTATTTACTTAAATAAAAGTGTACTTAGTGAATTTAAAATCTGTATTTAAATGGAAGCTTTGATCTTTAGAATTCAAAGTTACTGTACGAAATCAAAATAGGATAGTGGCTGCTGATGCAGTAAGTCTGTGTTTCTTGTAGAGCAAAAAAAAATTTGAGAGAGAATGCAGAGAGGCAGAGAAGGCACAGCAAAGCTATGAAAGACTGGACAATGACACTAATGCGACAAAGGCTGATGTTGAGAAGGTAAGAGGGGTGCCATTTCTTTCTTTCCTCTCCCTTAGCTATAAAAATATTTCATTTGCATGTTTATCACCAGCAGTACTGGAACAGCATTCTTTGAGTGTATAAAATCACGTGTTTTATGCATATGCTTGCTGCTTATGTGCAAAATCAAAGTTACAGTAAAATGTAAGATAGTGCAGAAAGGGAGTATGCTTCTTTGTTATTCTCAAGATGATACTGAGGCAGTTATCTTCCTTCAGCAGGCAGGCTTACTGGTATCTTGTGTCTTGTGGTATATATTTAGTCTAGTTCAGTCACTTCTGTATCTTTTTTTTGAAGACATGTTTGAACTGTTAACACTTTCCTACTAGGCTAAGCAACAGTTAAACCTGCGCACACACATGGCTGATGAAAACAAAAATGAATATGCTGCACAACTACAGAATTTTAACGGGGAACAACACAAACACTACTACATTGTCATTCCTCAAATTTATAAGGTAAAATAATAATTGAGTATATCTGGTTCTTTTGAGGAGAAAATAGATTTTAAAGCTTAAAACTTTTATTTTCGGAATTTTAGTAGATAATTTTCTTAAGAAAATGGCAAACTACATCAGATTATGCTAATTGTCGAGTTTTATTGCTTGCAGTAATTATGCTTAGACTTGCAGTGAAAACATTCTGTTGCATGTTCTATGCAAATTTTGTATTTTGTAGACTGCTTAATAGTATGTAGAAGTATGGTAAAATAAACATTTGAGAGGTCTGACGGAGCAGATTTTTAAAATAATTAATCTAATAAGTTTTGATCACTAACTCTTGATTTGTATTCTTTAAAATGCCTTGACTTTGGTAGAGATGAAGGAAAACACATAGCTAGGAGAAAATGTGGTTTAGTGGATCCTCTGTACAGGTAGATTTGGAGGCAGAGGGCTCCTCCCCTCCCCTTAGTTGATTGGATAAGGCCATTTTGGTCTGTATTGCTAGACAACTATTGCATCATAACATTACCAGCAGTCTACAGAAATCTCTAAAATAACATAAAAGTAAAAAGTGAAATTAAATCAAGACTTTGCATCTGAAAAGGAAATTTCTCAAGGTAGTTTGCATATCTGCTGAGAAAAAAAAAAATGCTTTCAAAAAGGAGATTTTGCAAAACTGGTTTAAAGCAAAGTAACTGGGGAACGTGGGCAGACGGAATCTTCAGAACCCTAGTGGTATGTATGTTCAAGCATTTGGGAAAACACTGGGACTGTAGAAGTTATTCTGAGACTCAGTAACGAAATGGAAGAAAAGTGAGCGTTGACTTTATTAAAAGTGTTTCAAGTAGAGAAAGCTTGATATTTTCCAGAAACACAGGGGAGATCACGTTTTAAACAATTATTTGTTTGACAGGCCAGAATTCACAGGCGAAAATTGTCCTGCCTTATCAAAGAGGTTTTTAATGTTGGAACTGGTAAGCAGTGCTTCAGTAGATCTGACATTAGCAGACTAATGGGGGAATTGCAGCGAGCTCCCAGGAGAAACAGTTCGAGCATCTTTGTAGTTTGGAGTAGCGATTTGGTTTATCGCCTTTATTTCTCTAGGTTTAAAATCCATTATCACTGTGAGATATTACTCTTGTTTTCAGAAATCGTTAATAAGAGCAGAAAGGACTCGTCCAGCTTCTTCTTGGGGCTAATTTTTGTTATTTCCTTTCAAGTGTTTGATAACATTATAAGGGAAAAGCAGGAGAGAAGGAGTTAGTATGACTTGCTGTTGCTTTGTCTCAGGCAGATGAAATCAGATGCTCTTTGAGACATCTGCTTCTCATAGAGTAGATATAGGAAAGATCTAAATTCTTATCTCATTTTTGATAATCAGTTGATAATATGTTTTTTTTTTTTTGTTTTTATTTTTTTTCATCTTCAGTTAGATGAAAGGTCCAGGGTGTTTCATTTTGGGTGTATCTTAATGGTGTTTCACTTTGATTTGTTCTCTTTTAGTTGTGTTCCAATAGACTTCTGATAGCAATCTTATGTAATGATAATTTTTTCTTTATTTTCCTGCACACTACTAAAGGAAATGGTTTGTATTTCAAATGAGACAGCATGTCTAATTGGCATGTAATTTTAATATTTGTAACCTTTCCTGTTTTTGTTAATCATTGGTATTTATTGCAAAGCATAAAAATAAAAGCAAAGTTAAAGAAAATGAGACTGCAGACTTATTACCAGAGGGAAAGTATTTGGAAGTGAAAGGAGACAACGAGGAGATGTAGAAATTAGCAGAATTTCTTCACTATCGTTTCAATTTTTGCACAGAACAAATACTTGTAGTTAAGTATGTGGCTGCAGACAGCATCTACACCCTTTAAAAAGGAGGGGGAAAAAAAAAGTGCAGTCTCTCCAGCATTTTCAATAGTCAACAAAGTGTCAGCTCTTCATGAATACTGTTCTGTGCTCTTTAAGTCCATGTCTGAAATGACTTGAATTTTAAACTTAATTTAGGTTTTGTTTTGTTAAGCAAATGAAAATACGGAAAAGCACAGCGATTCTGTACTGTACTGTGATGACTACCATAACTGCATCCATCAGGATCAGGAAAAAAAAATCAGGATATAAAAACTTTTTTGTCTTACTTTATGCTTGCAGCAACTTCAAGAAATGGATGAAAGAAGGACTATCAAACTTAGTGAATGTTACAAAGGTTTTGCTGACTCTGAGCGCAAGGTTATTCCCATCATCTCTAAATGTTTAGAAGGAATGATTCTTGCAGCAAAATCAGTTGATGAACATAGAGTAAGTAAAGTTGAGGTTTTAAGTGTGTGAACAAGTTAAATGATATTGAAACTGTGGAATGAGGAGGAGGGGATAGACTGATTTATCCTGTCCTTTTACCTTTTTGTAAGTTTTACCTTTACCTACCTTAAAGGTGTTGTGACTTCAGTATTTAGCCTAAATGGTTACTTCCGTTTTGATGTCAGTTCTCTTTACGTTTTATTACTTTCTTGTGATCTGAGGTTGACTGACACTGCCTCATTATATATGATTTTGGACACTTTATTTTGGTTATCTTGAAACATTCTAGATATCAACGTGGTGGTTAACTTCTCCAACATATAGCACCAAATCATTTAAGGGTATTCAATTAAAGTATCATTCTATATCCTTCTCTTTGATTGCAGCTATTCATTCACTGGGGAGGACACTTAGTTCTTTCTCATTCCTTCTAATAAGGGTTCTTCCCTGTTACCTCTTACTATATCTAGTTTCTTGGTGTTACCTTCCGTTAGTTTCCATGCTAACTCTGAAGGATCATAAGATGGAGTAATAGTTTGGCCCTAGAGGGTGTCCTATTTTAAATCTGTAATGAGCTGCGGGGAGTATTTTTTGGGTTCTGAATAGCAGGATATGCTTTGATTTACACTCTTGGTAATGCTGCTGAGAAAGAAGAACCAGTGTTAGTTTAAATTGATGTATTCAAAAGTATGCATTTCATGCTCCCTCTCACTTTCCCATCTGTGCATCTCAGCACTTAAAGGGAGAATGTATGTCTCTGTCGTTCTCTTCATATCTGGACGCCTTTGGTTGTTTTTAAACTCCTTAATGTCCTATGTTTAGGACTCGCAACTAGTGATAGACTCCTTCAAATCTGGTTTTGAACCTCCTGGAGATTTCCCATTTGAAGATTATAGTCAGAATATTTACAGAACTATCTCTGATGGAACGATCAGTACACCAAAGCAGGAAGGAATGAGAATTGATTCAAAAACTACGGTGGGCAAGGCTAAAGGAAAGCTGTGGCTATTCGGAAAGAAGCCGAAGGTAACAGTTATGAAATTACTATTCAGAAAATTAAAATGTGAAGAGTTGGAGTGCATGGAAGTGGCAATTATTTATTTTAAAATAACTTTCCCATTGCTTGTCACTTTCTTTTTAAAGATGTACAAAGAGATCTGAAGGTTTGAGTGGGGTTGGGTATTTATAGAAAAAATCAAGAATGGCAAATTTTGCTTTTGCGGAAGTTCTCATTTTGGGTTCTCATTGGGGAAGTTTTGCAATTTTTCTTCTTCTGATTTGTGTCATGGAATTTTTCAATACTTAAATTTGATATTCTACATAGTTTTAAACAGGATAAATAAAAACAGCTTCCGATTTCTGTAACATTTCAAAGTTGATGTAAAGACTTTCTACCATTCCGTAGAAAAAGTATTAATCTGGAATGTAATATAAGCAGAAAAGATTGGGGGGTTTTATGCTTTAGAATCAAGCAGACTTCAGATCTCTCATATATTAAGAAAGGGAAACTGTTTAAATGTCACCTGTTTTAGATGTTGATATATAGGAGTATTATGTAGATTATTCTACTTGCACCTAATTTTGAAAACTTGTGAAGTTTGTCTGAAAACATTAAGATTTTTACTGTCTCATTGGTGTAAAAAAAAAAAAAAAAAAAAATACCCACTGTTGAAGCTCCATACAGGTAAACGTCCTAGACGAAAATGTTGCTATGTTGCTACGAAATAGGTTAAAAAAAAATTTACTCAAGAAAAAAATTAAAGCAGAGAAATTGCTTCTTTCTTGTGTAACTATTTTAGTTTCAAGTGACACTTTCTGTGCAAGATGCCTTCGTGGGTCCACCAAAAAAATATTAATGCAAACATTAGTTATATAATTGAATAATTAAACATATATTTAAATCTTGTTTTAGGGCTTTAATGTTAAAACATATCAGTGAGTCATTTTAATGATGCCCACAAATTTCAATGAGGCTTCTGCCTGGTGAAATTAAAATCATTTATTATAGCAAAATATTCTTAGGCCTTTTTAGTGTTAGGATTTATTTTCCCATTGATAGTATTCCAAGCAAGCAGGTCTTCTCTGAAGAAAGAAAGGATATATCTGATTTTTTATTGCCTCTTCGGTGTATTATGTAACTGCAGCTGTGCGTTAGCAATGAAAACTAATTATTTACTTTTCATCCAGTATAATTATTAACTATGGTTTATCAGTGCAACATATTAGCATATTTTATTGGCTGCAGAGATGGGTGAGATTCAGCCTATTCTGAAATAAGAAGATCACTACCAGTTTGAAAATAAGACATCTTTGGGAATTTTGGTCTCCCTTCGGTGGACAGCGTAGCTGTGAAAATCTACAGCAGTTTACAATCTGGACATTGGCACTTAGTGTAATTTCAAGAAATTCCTTAGTAGGATGGCTACTGAAGGAAGCTGGCAGGACCTGCCTCCCTCCCCTTTTTTTTCCTCCCTGGTTTGTTCATGTTGTATGTGGCATTTGGATAGTCAGCCTTTACTGTTTCTTATATGGAATCACAGATATACATATGTATGTACATACATACATGCTTCTCTACCTTAAGTACCTAGAGGAAATGGAAGATTACGTCCATTTTCTCAGCTCTTTGGGAGAAATGAGGGGGGAAAAAAAAAAAAACCTTTGCAAATCAGCAGCTGGGAGCAGAATACTACTCAGGATATATATCTGTTTTTAACTTCAAATATCATTTAAAGAACTTGATAAATAAGAAAGTGAATATTCTTATATTAGGTAATATAAAAATATGCTGGTTTACTGTAGCTGAGGTATTCATGGTGGCCTTTGGGCCTTGATTTAGCTGAAACTGGCTGGACTTGACTTTAAGATAAACTGTTTACCTATTTTCAGTATGGTCAAAGAGAAAAACCTCTTGGAAGGGGAATGAGTCATGCAGCAGAAAAATAGTAGAGAAGAAACATTCAAATGGAAAATCAGCAGAGAGAAAAAAATGAGGGAAGCAATTTAAGACAAGTGGAGGAAGTTCTGATGGCTGTGATTGTGAAAGCCATGCAGCCATTGCAACAGTCCGGTTTAACTATTGAAATTGAATCTCCTTTTTATTTTAGTCATTATCCATAGATATACATAATTTTCTATTAGTAGCTTACCTGTCCAGATATGTAGGAATAAAAAGCGAGCAGGAGTGCAGAGGCTTCCAGAATGACAGTAGCTAAAGTTGGAAAAAACAGAACATCCTGCTTTAAGAAAACAGACAGGCAACTTTGGTATTTTTAGGATTTTGCAGAAGTTGGGTCTAAAGCTTTCTTGGATATTCCTTCGTTCTCTGCACCAACCTGTGACTCTCAAGATTAACTCATGACAGAAACCTGTTAAAACCAATACACTTCTAGTGTAAATGTGTTTGTGGAACATGTTACAAACTGTTTCTGTGTTAGATGGAAATTTTGTTTTTGTAAGACAGAATTTTCATTTTAAAATCACTTTGAACATTTGGCTTATTTATTGCTTTCTTTATTTCCATATTAGCCACAGTCCCCACCCCTAACCCCTACTAGTTTATACACATCCAGTACTCCTAATGGGTCCCAGTATCCCATATTCTCCATTGAACCAGTGCATTATTGCATGAGTGACATAAAAACAGGGAAGCCCAGAATTCCTTCTTTCAGAAGCCTCAAAAGAGGGGTAAGTTTGATAACAAGTTGAAATGCATGATGGGCTATGAGCAGTGTGTTTGTGATGTGGCTTTTCTAATGCTCTTCACCCTCATTATAAGGCTTACTCTGTTAAAACACTCTGCTATAAGGTCACTTTTAGGATACTTTGTTTCACATACAGATGTTAAAAACAGGTTTAAAAAAATAATACTCTTTATAACATTTCAAATACTTATGCCCAAAAGAAAGGTGTTATAAAGAGGGTGCTCAGCATATGTCTGATGCCTTTTTTCATTGTTGTTTACCTTCACAAATGTTTTCCTACCATCATGTAACACTTTTCTGCAGTAATTTATCATTGGGTATATAGTCATCGCAAAAACATCTGACAGATCAGGTGTCTTATTTGCTGACTTCTAATTGAAATAATAGTAGTTGTTTTATGAGACATCGAACTAAGAAGGGAGAAATTCATTTCTCTTTTGTACATCAAGTACTGTAGTATACAGTGTTCGCAGATTTTGAAATACTATTTTAATGCATTTTATGATTAATAGTTAAATTGTTCTAGTTTACTGAAAGTTCTTTTGGATAAAATCATTTATAAATTCCTACCAAATGCCATTTTCTGAGATTTATCAATTAATTTACTAATTTATAGTGGTGTATTCTGCAAATAGAATTTGTTGAGAAGACAATAACAATGAAATGTTAAGTGGTTTCCTAGCAACATATGTATAGTACTAGTGATAAATATACTGGCAGTTTCCTGTTATGTCAGTGAAACATAGGCTGTCCTGTTTATGTAAGTTTTTTATGATATATATTGATCCACATAATGGAATAATTAGATGCATTTGATTGTATATAATTCATGATTTTCTGGTATTTGAAAACAAAACTGATTTACTGTCTCAGTTGTACATCACCAATGACTGGCTACCGTTGATGTAATGGGGAGATCAAAATACAGCAATGTATTGCAGTAAAGTTAATGATTTAGAGGTTTCCTCCCTGTCATTCTGAGTTATAATGAGTTACATTTAAAATCTGTTTATCTTGTACTTAACTTGGTGGCATGGTATTTCAGCTCCCCAGTTATTCTGAGAACTGCCCTTTCTACCACCACTGTTTTTAGAAGATCTTTGTGGTCCTCTTAAGTATTTATAGTGGACGGATTGTACTTTCTCTCTCTGAATTACTGCTATCATAATTTGCTTTGATGACAAAGATAACGTTCCTTCATTAGTACTCGGTGAGGAACTGGATTAGGTAGCTGTTGAAAGAACGCAGGTCTTGATCACGCCCTCTTTTTATTGATCACTAAATGTATCAGCTCCTGGATCATAAATCAAAACCCAGTAGCATTACTAGTTCTAGAATTTCTTACTAAAGTAAAAGACAAGTCTCCTGATAGCTACTGAATGCCACTGGAAAATGAAAAAACATTTTCCTTTAATTTTGTATTTTTACACTTTTGCAATTTTTACAAAGATTATTGTTGAATGTACTATAGAATGGTATTCCGTAAAATTAACACGGATCATTAATATCCTACAAATCTAATTTAACTCAAAAAATCCTACAATATTAAATACTTAATGTCTTTAAATCTTCAGGGTGAACATTTAATTTTTAAAAATATTTTAAAATACCCTGATAGCATTTTAACAAATGCTACATTATCACATACTAAGTGCCTTTTCAACTTAACTGTATACTGCAATTCTAATAGATTTTGTATGTCATTGATTAGTTTTATCTTTTTAATATATTTTGATTCAATGCTAGCTGCTAGTACATTATCCTGTGATTTACACAGTTTTATCCCTGCAAAATTTTGTTCAAGGGGTATTTATATGCAAAACTATCAAGTGGCATTTTAATTTGCTTTGGTTTCTACTGAGATTTATCCATGAGTTGGCATGAGATAAGAAGCATACTGGATATTTTGTTTTACCTGCCCTGTACAAAATTTCACTCCAGGCAGTTAACCAAACCAAACTCCCCTTGTTCTGTGCTTCATGCATCAGATTTTCCCCCTTTGGCTGCACAGATAAAGCAGCAAACAGTAGTTCTAGTTGCCAATGCATGCAAAAAGTAATAGGTTATTTAAAAAAAAAAAAAAAGTGTAGCTGTGCTGTGCTTTTTATTAGTAATACTATTACAAGCTTTTTATTGCTCTCTGAATTCTGACATTTCCAGATAGTGTTAGTGCTTATGAAAAGTCTTTGCTCTATACCATTTGATACATAACTGGATACATCACGAACAGTGAATGACATGTAAGATTTGCCTGTTTTCCTGGAAGACTCTCTCTAAAGGGAAAAAATTGTTTACAGCCATTTTATGTAGTTGGTCTTAACTGAGGTTTCTACCAAGCTTTCATTTGTGAAAGTGTTTCTTTTTCCTCATGTAGTTGCCTTTCAATGGCTAGAAATTCTGGTGTGTGCCCCAGTCAACAGTCTTAACAGTTGCTGTAGGTCAAAAAATGGTGTGGCAGACGCACACCATCACTACAGTGGCGGAAGCGTCATACTAAGTTGCTTGGTGTTTTGCTGGCAGGGCTTACCCAAAGTCGTTGAAAATCTGGAAGATCTCCAGAATGCAGTGACTTGTTAAACCCAAGATATGACACCTGTCATCTCATGTGTTTTATTTGCTTTTTCTAAGAAGAACGATTTTACTCTTTGAACCCATTTATTTTTGTCTAGACTAAAGTATATTTAGGATAGCAGCAATGACCAAAATATGCTATTTTTAAAAGCAAAATTATGAACTTTTAAATTTGAAAGGGAAGTTTTTTTGTGTTTTGTTGTTGTTTTATTGACAATCAAGACTTTAAAATATATATATTTGTAAAAGTAATGGTAGTGGAATGTTAGCTAATTCTTTGCATATGGCTGACCAGTCTTTCTTTCATTGTCATCAAATTCTGCTATTTTGTGCAATGTTGGCTGTGTGTTTGTTTCTTCTCTTACAATAGAAGTTCATGTGCATATTATTCAAAATATTAAAATTCAGAAGTAGTCTAATGAAGTTGTGTTATAATTTCATAAGTTAAACTACCCATTATCATTTAGTGTAATTTTTAAATCAGTAATTCTCAATGCAGAAATGCATTTCATATTCTTGTATTTTGCAATTCTTGTGTTTATAGTAAAATGTATTTTTTACAAATTATAATTTTAATCTTTCAGATAGTTTTAAAGACACGTTCTTAGGCATTAATCATTTTCTTAACTGGTGGTTGCATGTGAATAATTTCCCGTTTCTTTCTGTTTTCAAATGAACTGTGCAGTGGTCGGTGAAGATGGTAAGCCCGTGTGCTGATCTGTCTGCTGTACTTCTGCTAAGATAGCATGAAAGTAATTTATTGAAAGTGTTTCCATATCATAACTGCTTTTAATCAGGTGCTGAAATACATCTTCAGATTTTCCACCTCATCACAGTCGTCTTTTTAATCGTCTGTGCTTAATGTGAGATAATTAGATTGTGATTTGGCTTCAACTGTATCTGTGATTTTGGAGTTTTAGCATTGACTAGTATTCATGAGCTGGTCATGATGGAAATAGTGAATTCTGTTTGTCAGGAAAATTGTTAGAGCAGCATAAAATAGGTATGTGAAAAGATTACAAAACTCGTGTAAAGGAGAAATTGAATACTGTGAAATGAAATCCTTTGAATTTAACCAAAAATTTGCAGGGGAGATGATCCTTCATGTTCAGATGTATTACAAAACTGTTGCTTTAGATGAAAAATGCACCTTGATTGATATTGTTGCTTTGCAGAGTAAATCAGTAAAATTCACAGTAAGAACTCTGTTCTTCTGATTTTTACTGTAGGATACTCTGATTTTAACTGACCTGTAAGGAGGAATGATGAAACGGGATGTTATTGTCGTTTCTTGTTTCTTTGTAGTGTGTAAAAGGCAAGAAATGATCCCCCTCCCTCCCCCCCCCCCCCGAAAGAAATACTTCTGCTTTGTACTGGCAACACGAGATCTTGATGTCCTTTCTTTAACAGCGTGACTAAAAAAGGTAGCGAGGTTATGATTTAATGAGTTCAAAAGAACCAAGTAGTTGAAGGGGAAGAAGATTTTAAGAGGGGCTACTTGGAAAGTGTAAAAATTAAAACCATAGGCATGTGAGCCTGTGGTTGCTTCTGCTTAAATCCTGACAGTCAAGTGTCTGTCAAGTTTCTTATTGGCAGAAGAAATGCTGTCCAGTTTGGTTTACCTCTGTGGAGGGCTGCTGTAATGGCAGGGGGCGGTTTCTTGCGCTTAAAACAACTTACTTAACCAGGGCATGAATAACGTAACTTTCTGTTAGTGAGATATGTACCTTATTTCCTTCTTAAAAAGCACTGAGGGTGTCTGTCGCCTGAGGGGAGGAGTTTTCACAGCAAACTCAAAAGATAGGTAAAAATCTCTTCACGTGATTTTACACACCCAAGTCCGTCCATCCCGATTATTATGCTGACACAAGTTTGCACTTGTGTCAACACGATGTCAACCTCTGCAGGTTTGGGGCTCGTAACAGTAGGTGGTCTTGAGGTTTTTGTTTTTTTTTTCCTAAATATATTTGAAAATTAGTGGCAATTTTTTTCCTCCCTGAAACATTCTTTGTTACAATGAAAAAAGGTGACTTGGAATTATTAAGTAAGTTTTGATTTAGAGTAACAAATTACGTCAAAATTTCTATGGTGTAAAGGTATTCTCTGTACTCTCTGAAGGTAAAGGTAAAATGTAATGGAACTTTATAATCTAGTTCAGATCCTTCTAATGCATTTTTATAGTAAGACTGATGAACAACTGAAAGAGAACTATAATAATAATTTGGAAAAAAAAATCAAATTACCAAATTATAACATTTTTCTTTTGACAGTATCCAAGTAGCCGTAGAAAACACAATCCAGGTAAAGAATCAATCATATAGATACTGCTTCTTAGATTTGTATTCTGACTGGAATTACTGCTTAGTAATTCTAAATCTAAATCTGTCCTTTCTAAATCTGCTTTAAGTGCAGTGGATGTAATAGGGAGGTTCATGGCTCAGCTTTTCAAACTATTTATTGTTAGATCTACAAATTATTACTTACAAACCTGAGCCAACTGCGTCAGAAGACAGTAAGAGTATCTCATTTGACTGAAGTTGTATTTACAAAGTAATTTAAAGCAAATAAAAATTCTGTTCCAGACGGGTAGGTAATTTTACTCAGAACAGGGAATTTCAGTTGTATATGGATTTTTCTGTTTACTGCTTTTTCAGAATATTCAGGTTCAGTAAATGGATATTGTAGTAATATTTTAAAAAAATTAATTGATGTTTTGCTAAGAATGTTTCAGGGTTTTATATCTTGCTGCATTGCAAATAACCTGATCTGTTCTGACAGACTAAATTTGTATGGTCTATGCTGTGATTCCATGAAACAAAAGAGTTGAAGTCGTATCTCTTTTAGCTCAGTTGAAGTCATTCAAAATATATTCTGGCTAGTATGTAGACAAAATGACTTTATGCCATAGTGACTTGTAAATATTTTATTAATATTTTTTCTCATGTGATTATTTTGACTTGTATTCAGATGGATAGACAACCCTTCTTCAAATCTCCTCATCTAACCGTAGCCACAATTGTGGGCCCCCCCCCCCCCCCCCCCAACCCGCTGGAATGAATGACTATGATCTGACAGCAAGAACATATATTTATTCCTTTGTGGTCTTTTATAGATCTGTGTGTCGAGTAGAGTTGTTAACAAGGCTCATCCTGCTTCCAGTGAACACTGTTCGTGTGTGGATATGTCAGTTCAGCTGTCTAGGTATGTGCATGTTACTTGTTTAATAGTATTTATGCTTGCAGGGCCCTGCTTCAGAAGACTTCAGCCACCTGCCTCCAGAGCAAAGACGCAAGAAACTACAGCAGAGAATTGATGAACTCAACAGAGAACTACAGAAGGAAACAGACCAAAAGTGAGTGGTTTTTTTTGGAGTTCTGCCATGGTTCTCTTTATGTCTATGTCTTTTTACAGTCCTCTGCTTGAGCTAATAGTGCTCAGAAGTTAGGAGGGAATGTGCTACCTCAAGCTGTCTATTATAAAGCTTTTTTTAATCTATGTTTTATTGTACATAGATTCTGTTTTCATCGCCTCCCTCTGCTTTATTATAATATACATTGTGATCGTAATGTTGCATAGGAAATTCTGGCTCTAAAAGTGAGCGTGCAGTAACTCGATATCAGTGTGTAGGTCTGTCAAGCAAGAGAGCTACAACTTACTACATTAAAAAGAGCGTTGTGTAGGAAATTGTGTATAACAAACTGGGAAACAGTACTGAAGCTGGATAGATATGAATCAACAGTTGACTCCCTTATGTGCTTGTGCAAGAGGCAAGAAAGGAAAGCAAAATGGTAAGGTGACAGAAGGGAAAAGGATTTAAGGAGTGCTGTGGGAGCTGTATCCTTATGTCTCTGCTTAGTATTTAGGACCTCTAATTTTAGGTAGAATCTCATACGCATAAACATTCTTTTAGTTTTAACGAACCAGTAGAGGTGTATGCAATTTTTATAATTTTTATGGGGTTTTGTTTGTTGTTAGAGATGCCCTCATCAAGATGAAGGATGTTTATGAAAAAAATCCCCAGATGGGTGATCCAAGCAGTTTGCAACCAAAGCTAGCTGAGACCATGAACAACATGGACCGTCTTCGGATGGAAATACACAAAAATGAGGTTAAAATATAAAACAATTTCTTAGAAAATGTAAATGATTGTTAATACAATAGTTTGCCTTATGAATTATAAATGTAGCAGACAGAAAAATACTTAAGTTCTTCAGTTTTCCATGAGGTACCATATTTACAGGTATGTTCCTCTAAAGATAAAAACTCTTCATAAGAGTTTGTCATTAATCACTTATTCGGCAATTCACTTTAGCTATTAAAGGTGTGATTTTTTTTTTTTTTCCTGTTAGATTTTTAATTCTCATATGGACTGCAGGCTAAACAGAGGGGATAGTTTCATGCTTCATGTAAAATAAATACGAAACTTCACATGTGAATGCAGTCTTTATATGGCTGTGTACCGAAAACTGAACTGTGCTATTAAGTACACTTGTAAAATGCCATTTGCTGTCTTAGAATTAAGTTTTAACAACAATATTTGTCTTTTCTCTCCAAGGCTTGGCTGTCTGAAGTTGAAGGTAAAGTAGCAGCCAGAAGCGACAGGCGGCACAGCAGTGATATCAACCACCTTGTAACACAGGGCAGAGAGAGGTCACTATTCTATCTCTACTACTTTTATATTTTACGTTAGAATCAGTACTTCCCTTTGATGGGTAACAGTAGATGATGGTTGTTCCTTATCCTCTGAAAGTCTATGTCCTTCTAAAGGAAAATCTTACTGGTTCCAAATTCTAAGGTTCATGTCATGTTGTCACAGTAGCATTAAAAATTGGGAGTCTAATTGAAACACCCACTCATTAAATAGCGTTTTAAAGCTCTCTTATCCATTGCGTAAGGCTCACCAGTTTTGCAGGTTTTGTAGATACAGGTATGTTAAATTTATGTTTGTTTTCTTAGGAGAATTCAGTCGCAAGCCTTTGTCACCTCAGAACTTAAGAAAATGACCTCCAGCAGTAAATGTAAACACTGCTAACAGGCATTTCCAGAGCAATATCCATCATCTACCCGTCCTATGATGCACGTATGTTCAGAGTTTTGGAGCTCAGAACTCTTCTGAGTCCTCATGTTCCAATTGTTGCATTACAGCCCTGAAGGGAGTTACATGGATGATGCAAATCAGGAAGTTCGAGGCCCACCACAACAGCATGCACATCCAAATGAGTTTGATGATGAGTTTGAAGACGACGATCCATTGCCAGCTATAGGGCACTGCAAGGCAATATATCCTTTTGATGGTAAGGTTAACAATGTATATTTTTCTTTGACTAAAAGGTAACTTGACTAACAGGCGTGGATTATTTGTTACACAGAAGACAGGTAAAATGATTTTAAGTACATTAACTTTGTGAGCAGTTGCTTATAAGATCGATGAAAATATTTTATAAATCAGTTAATTCGTGGGCAGACTAGTACTTTTGTGCTGTTGTGAGATAAATATTAGAAAGCACAGCTATTGGCAAACGCTCAGATTCACAAATGGGACCAGGTTTTTGTCTGCAAGCCTGTTTAACCATATGTTCGCTTCCACAGATTTTTGATACTTCCTGTTTATTTATAATCTGGAAACTATGTCCTGGGAAAAAGATTACTTGAAATTCTGTCATAACATTGAGATGTATTTGCATCTTGTTTTCCCAGGTCATAATGAAGGCACTCTAGCAATGAAAGAAGGGGAAATTTTGTACATTATTGAGGAGGACAAAGGAGATGGGTGGACAAGAGCTCGAAGACATAACGGAGAGGAAGGCTATGTGCCAACATCATATATAGATGTAACGCTAGAGAAAAACAGCAAAGGTGCAGTAACCTATATCTAATAGTAAACTGGCAGTTTTCCGCTGTACGTTCCCCAGGGAAATAGTGGAAAAATAGTAAGTTGCACAGGTTCATGGAAAGAATTAGAGTATCAGAAGGCCGCAGTGGGCTGTTGTTCACCATATGAGCTTGACACATTTCTTTTTCAGAGATGTCAGCTTTAAATTAAGTACCTTACGTTGGTCTGTAATTTTGACCAGTGCCTTCTGCCTTATTTTACTGTTCTAATGTTCCCGCTTTACAAAGTGCTAAATTTGATTAATCTATTAAACTGAAAAAAGATCAGGATTCCTGCTTGTTCTATATAGTACTTGGTTTTTGCAAAGAACTGAAAAATACTTAGTTTTAAAGACCTCTAAAATTTACTGTTCCCACTTTTATGACTTAAAAGAAAAAGCCTCTTTTTTAAACATATAGTTTTTCTCTAATATCTGAAATCAGTTACTGAAAATTATTAATTTCCTTCCTTTGCAAATACTTGGCAGCTTTCACCTCTTAAAGAGGAAAATGTTTTCTCATTCTGAAAGCTCAACAAAAGTGCTCAGGAAGAAGCATTACAATTAAAAAGGACAAAAAGTCCACTGACCTGCCTCTCTCCTTCCCTTCCAGTGGTTGTAACCTGGAATATTGGTTTTTTTGATACAACTTCATTGTTTTAACTGTAGCTACCTTAAAAACACACACACACACAGACACACACACACACACACACATGTAACGCTCGTGTCTTACTGGATTTTAACCTCTCTCTGCTCCTGAAAAGGGACTGTTTTTAAATTCTTAATCTGTGCCTGTAAGCTAATAGTGTTTGAATTATATCACGTTTGGGTAGAAATCAAGATCTAAAATGTACAGTAACTCCTTCGCTATTAAATCACTAAGGTTTGGAAACTACATTGCACTACGTGATTACTAGGGAAAAAAAAAGCTAATCTAAAAGCTATGTCTGGTATTCCTATTAAGAATGTTTGTGGAATTAAGTACAAGGCTAATGTGTAGCCACTGGGAATGGCCTCTTAGAACTGAGCACACTTCTCTATTTTCTGAAGGCCTTCAGTAACTTTGTTCTTTTCTTTTTCCTCTTGGACTGCAGGTTCCTGAAGAGGGTTTCTGAGAAAATGGGCGAGATCTTGAAGGAGGTTACATGCAGCTGCTTTTTTTTTGGGGGGGGGGAGGGTATTAGCCTGGGAGGCCCATTAAGCAAGGGGAAAAGCTAGTTGCATGAATGCATGCAGACATACGTTTAGTCACTAACATTCTTAGCCTTTCCATACATAGTTAAGGATGTATTACAAATTCTTAAATTTCTGCAGCAAAATAGAGCTCCATTACCAGAGTAAAGAGGCAACTGCTCCTAAAATTGCTTATTCTCATTGTCCTTAGTTTTCAAAGAAGAGGCACAAACTGTATTTTAGATTGTGCTACATTTTGATTGTCTCAGTTAGTTACGCTTTTTTCCAGCTGATCGGAAAAAAGCTGATCGTAATTGGCAGTCATTTAGAACCATGTCAGTTGTCAGTCTGCCTGTGCCACCTCCATGCTCGCCCTTAACCCCCTCCTGCATGCCTAGGACAGTCAGGCATGCCTGCATAACATTTTATTGTCATCATTGCTTCTCATATTTTGTAACAAACCATTCTGTTTAAGTATCTTCAGCACTAGAGTTTCATCCCAGTATCCATGTATGCTGCTATAACTCTTCCACTGCAACCATCATTACATTCCAATTTTTGGCATAACTGATATGAGATCATAATATATTTATGTTGGTTTGGGGAAATAATACATCTCAGCTCTAGCCTACAATGCAGTCAGAGAAACTCCCAGAACTGTGGTCCATCATCTTCAGCACTTCAGTAACCTAATGTGAGCACTGAAAACCTGGAACACCACCAGAGAGATTCACCACTGCAAGCTAATGACTGTTTTTAAAGTCAACCACTTGCCATTCAAATGCTGCCTTAAACTAGAGTGCCTAAATCTGTTGATTGCCAACACTACCACTTACAGTATCCCACAAAGGGCTTTGTGTCTCAGCTCTTTCCACAGTGCTGCAGCTGCTGAGGTAGCCATGGTAGGTGTTTTCTAGAGCTCTACTTTACAGGATACATGGTGCATCATGAATTTTATACATTGAGACATGTATCTCTTCATTTGACTTCTTTAATATTTTTTAGAAATATTTTTTATGGAAACTTTGTCTCTTAGTTTTTGACTATGAAGTTCCAGTTTTAATTACTGCAGTGCTAGTTTGTTTCCAGGTGATGCTTCATTGTATGGACCAGTTGAAATTTGAGTGATACTTCGTAATGATCTATGATGTGCACTTTTTCTTGTAAACAACTGAAATTTGGATATGTTTATACGTGTAAATATAGTTGTCTGCAGTGCCCCTATTGCTTATGTTTTCTTGCTGCCCATTTGTGGTTCTATTAATAAATACATAAAATCTGATTTATTAGGGTAATAAGAATTAGACTAGCGATGTTGGGGGGGGGGGGGGTACTTGTATCAATCAAAGCTTGTCAGCCCAGCCACCTGCTGTGTGGGGAAAGAGAAAAAAAAAAAAAACCAAAAAATCCTGTTTTTGGGGGGGGGGGGGGG